CTTTCCCTTCAGCGCTCCTTTCTGACGCACACGGAACGTCACCGGCCACGCCACCACCTCCACCCTTCCCTCCAAGGACCCTTTACCTGGGCTGAATTTGAGCATTCGACTCTTGGGATAGTAATCCACTCCGGCCTGCGCCGAGCCATCGCGGGTGCTACAGCGGACTTTGGAGGTCCTGTTCTGATCTCCTCTCCGGACCACCTTGATATTTATAACGGCAACACCCTCCGGGCCAGGTGGCTCCCGTACTTGGTACGCAGCTTCTTCAAACTCGATGGTGGGTGCTAGAGAAACGGCAGTGAAGAAAAAGCCCCAAGTTCGCCCTTTACAGACAAAGAGCATTCAGGAACTGGGGCGAGCTAAGCTCAGCTCCTTTTAGGCTCTACCTACACATCTTCAGAGCAAGGGGCTCCTCAAAGCGGGGGCCAAAACTGGCGCTGTAAGGGTTGGACGTGTAAGGGGTGTGCAAAACCCAACACGGGTGTTGGGCTACAGAGTGATTCTCCCATCGCCGGCCTCCCGCTGAACCACACGCCCTCAAATCCCGCACGATGATGGTGCTACGGCCCCCGCTGGCGGCCACGCCAGAGGGACCTGCCATCCCCCTTCTTCCCCACAGACCTCTCCAGGCTGGGACGCTGCGGAGGGAAGGCAACATCTCCCAGGGGAAGCACAGCAACTCCCTGCGCAGCTGCAGGGGAACGGGATGTGGGACAAACGGCGGGGTCAAGCCACTGTTATTCCACCTCTCCGTTAAGACCAGCCCAGCGCACGAGGCGTCAGCACACAACGCCGTGCCCACGTCACTGAGGGCGTTCGCGTGTGCTAAATGAAACCGCCAACCGCCGACGAGGCCGTGCTGACTACCTCGGAACCGCGTCCTGCACCACTACCCCGACATCCTCGTTGAAAGTCCTCGCTTACCATCTTCGTCGTTGGTGATGGTTACGGTCGCCGTGTCCATCTTCCCAATCCTAGCTCCGCTCCAATGGTTTCCAAGCGGGCTGCCGAGATGGACCTGGAACTGCTCCTCTGGTTCAAAGGCAGAGTCATCGCTGATATAAACGCTGCAGTTCTTCACCTAAAGCCACGTCAGCAGGAGAAAACGGCAAACGTTCATAAACCCCCTGAAGCCACGTAAAGGCCACCCTGTACCTCTCTGCCTCGGGTTTCATGCCTGAGTACTGTCAATCCTGGAAGAAACGCTTCTATTTTTAAGGCTGCTACTTCACTGCGGACAAACCGCACAGTTGCGTGAGGAGACACAGCACTGACGACATCTGCTTCCACAAACCGACAGCTCTCTGCTACAACAATCCCGAGTCCTACTGAGACGGGGGATTTGCATTTCACGTTTCAACCGGTTTTAGGATCAAACCACCAACCCCTTCAGAGTCACGTCGTATTTCCAGGACCGGAAGAATTTGTGACTTGAAGCGTGTACGAAACCAGTTTGGACAGCCCCTGTCAGCCGCCCCTGACCGTGCAGAGCCGAGGAGGAGATCTGAACCATCAACGGTTCTTCATTCTCCCTACAAGCCAGGTTCTGCTCACCTTCTCCCCTTTCAAGAAAGTGATGCGAGACTCCTCGGCGTTTCTCCTCTCCGCAAAGTCCTCTATGACCTCTGCTGTCTGGCTCTGCGTGTAGCACCTGACAGAGGACTCGTAGCTCAGGTCCCCGGTGCGGAAGATGGGGATGTGCAGAGTACCCTCCTTCTCCTTCACCGTGTACGTGTCCTTGGTGAACTGCATGCTTGGTACTGCAGGAGGCAATAGAGAGAGTCAAGCACTCGAGCAGCAAATTGAGGCACGTACACCCCAGGAGAACCGCTGCACGGAGACAGAGAATAAGACGGAGGCTTCAAACAAACAAGTGACCATCGCTGCCATCATCCCTCTCCAGAGCACAGGATCAGCGGCCCCTGCAGCGCGTCAACCAGAAGGAACCTCTCCTCGTCACCTCTCCTCGGTCACCTACTCCGACAGCCGATGAGACTTGTTCGTCCTCCAGCGTTTCGGTGCTGTTGCAACGCGCTGGAGGACGGGACCGGGCTGGCAGTGCAGGGACGGTGGGTTTGCAAAGCACGTCGGGGAGGGACGTACGAGGGCTCAGAACAGAATTGGGTGCTGTGCCTCCAAGCGTTACCCTACCGTCTGTGGGCAGACACAGAACAGACCGCTTGCAGCGGAGAGGGCAGACCTCCACCCGAGACGCAAAGGCTGAAACGATTAGAGGCGACTACGGGGTTAGATTACGCAGCGCGTGCTTCCCTGAGGCAAGCGAACGCGAGAGACGTTAAAACCCAAGAGGCAGTAAACGTGCGGTGAGGCTTTCTCAGGGAGCGCACAGAAAGCACGGAGCGAGGGCTCAGCTCTGAGCGGGGCAGCCAAAGCGTGGCTGAAAGAGAGGGAACGCCACGGGACAATCCATCCCGCACTCCCACAGACCCTCAGGTCTCGCCGACAGCGAAGCACGGAAAGAAACGGGGCGGCCAGGCGGAACGGGAGGATCCCAGGAAAACAACCTAAATCCAGCCTAGAAATAACCAACTTAGCTGAGCCTCCTGCTGCGTGGATGTGGGATGCCGGACTTGTCCGGGCTTGCTGGTGCCGAACACAGGGCC